TTTATCATTGCACCGCCCAGTTTGGCCTATATAACAACGACCGCACGTTAAAGGAAGCATGTAAACAACACCAACAACGCATTCTACAAATTTATTTATGTGTTTTACGGCGCATGTCCAACTTTTTTTAGTGATTCCACTAAGTCGCTCATCCGTCATTCTGCAGATCTGGCTTACTTTGCACGGAGCTGATAAAACTACATCCACACCATATCTCGAGCCTACCTTGTTGCGAAAAATCAAACAAAAACAAGAAAATGCAGGAGGAAATAAAGAGCGAAAAAGAGTTGCAGTCATCCCATACTTTCACAATATATCTCATGGTTTGAAGAACGTAGGCTCGAGATATGGTGTGGATGTAGTTTTATCAGCTCCGTGCAAAGTAAGCCAGATCTGCAGAATGAAGGATGAGCGACTTAGTGGAATCACTAAAAAAAGTTGGACATGCGCCGTAAAACACATAAATAAATTTGTAGAATGCGTTGTTGGTGTTGTTTACATGCTTCCTTTAACGTGCGGTCGTTGTTATATAGGCCAAACTGGGCGGTGCATTAATAAAAGGTTAGGAGAACATATGAATGACATATGCAAAGGTATCAGTTCAAACCTTGTTTTGCACTGCAAAAGCTGCGGGTGCCAGCCTCGTTTTTCGGGCGTGAGTGTGCTAGCACGCCACATGGACAAGTTAACTCGGGAAATAGCTGAAGCGTTTTTTATTAGAAAAAATGGTGACGGATGCGTAAGCCAACCTTCAGTGGCCTTGCATGAAAAAGAGTTCGCACTTTTAGATAAAGGTTAGCTAGTTTCAGTACCTTCTTTTTATCAGAACATGCCCCAGAATATGTCACGTTGCTCACGTGTGCTGGTTTCCTGTTGTATATATTATCATGTGTGCTGTGAATAAAATTCAGTTGGTAGTCAGCGCTCGTGTTGTCCTCTTTTGCCTTCCGTACCTCGACTTTGTCTGTTTCTTCTAGCACATTCGTGCTCGCGCTGCAGCCCTTATTACTATGAAAATGTGTACTCACGAACGCAAAAAGACATTTTTAGGTGCAAACCTCTAATTAAGCACTTATAAGCACAATAAATGTTTGATTGAGACATTTCTCGTCCTTTAGTTCATGCTTATATGTTAAATAGGTTCAAAAGAGACTCTACAAAAAAATAAGCATTTTGCCTGACGTTCCGGTCTCTAGTCAGGATTGCTGACAACGGCGTACAGTGCCTCGCGTTTTTGGGCATCATCTCGGACACTGAGCGACTTCATCGGTGCAGATGACTTAGTTGCTTCTGCATGCATCGATGCAGAGATCATGGCTGACGTTTTCGGTGCCACGGAAATGTACCTGTGTGGTTGTCGCCGCTAACCAACCTTTTACAGCCTGCATCGTCGTTCAGCGTTAATCAACGCTGTTGTGGCCAAAGAAGCTAAATTTGCTTATTTGTAGAAATTCAATGATATTTAGGATGACTGGAACTTGGCGCCGCTAGAAGTCAGACGAATTTACGGACTATTTTCATGCGAAATAAAGTGCGAAAACTTGCAAAGTTCGCTCTTTCTTTTTTACCCTGTGAGCTAACCAGGTTAGCACTTGTTACAATTTCCTAAAACTGTTTTGAGGCCTGGAGCGCCTTAAAAAGCCTCACACAAGCATATTTTGTATTTCAAATTATCGATATATCTTGGATCGACTGTAATAAAATCTCTTGATGGAAATGCTGCGTTATTAGTCTTGTGTGAGTATTCAAATTGTTCGAATATTTGAACAAATATTACGGTACTTGAAACTGCTTCAATTGGAACTAAAATTCCTGAAAATCTTGAATTATTCGAAATTAATAAATAAAAAGAAGTTCACATGTAAGACCTGTAAAGATGGCTTCACTGCAGTAGAGGAGTGCTAAGCCGTAAAAGGACCTAGGCCCATATTCACAAACCAACCTCGGCCTTACCTCACGTTTTCCTCAACTTCCAGTACTCTCTACATACGTTATAAAGGCACAAAAATGGTAACAGGGCAAAATATAAGGAAGAGACTGGTTTATGAATACTTGTCCAATTTGTCTATCATGCACAATAAAAGTTTAAAACCGATAAGAAAAACTCGAGGAAAGGTTGAGGTTGGTTTGTGAATACAGGCCCTACTATTTAAATGTGCATCAATCTGCATGTAACCTTCTGTCAAAATATTTCAAATGAAGTGAAGGGAGTGCTAAGCCATAAGAACATCTATGCAGAAAAAATCGGCGCTGCTACAAAGCTCCACTTCAAGATTAAATGAACACATCACCCTTGCATCGAGCCATCATTTTAAGTCAAGAAGCGTGTTTACCACTTGATTTGCTCCAAGTATTATACATTTCGAAACATAACGTGATTTGCAGGTTATCACTTGCATTCTATGAAAGTCAAATCCCGCTATTATTCAAAGTTGTTAAAAAATAAAATTTGCACAAATTTATTTTTTTAGATATTGTGCATGTTAGTTAGATCATGGCCAATATGCCAATTTTTTTTGATAATGTGCAATGTGTACTACTTGAATTCGATTCGAAATTATTCGGCCGAAATCACTATTCACTTTGAATTTGCTTCAATCCTAAGCTCCACTATTCGCACAAGCCTATTTGTTACCTATAAACCTGTGCCCCACAGACACGAGGCTATAAAGAGTTAAAAACACCTCTTATGCAGATGATGTTTTTACCCTTAAGTTAATTCCAGTACATTTAAATCTAGATTCAACTGTAATGGGCCAGCATATTGTCATAGGGTCGTGACACTGACCAAAGAAGAAACAACTCGTCTCAAATGAAACTGTTTAGCATTTGACCAAACTTGCAGCCAGTAAATGGAAAGTTTGATTACAGCAACACACTGACTCTGATAGCAGCTAACAGAGAGTTGGCCGTCAATCAACTGGCCATCGTTTGGATGCGCCGTATTTCATACATCACACGTTGAACTTTCCAGCCTTGTCACTCGTGGTCGTATAGCTCTGGAATAATCTTGAATGTTCACGCCCTGCACGCCATCTTAGCAAAACGATCTACTACAAATGATGATGAATGTTTTCGAACACTAAGGCGTGATCTTCGCCGAGTATTGCACACAGTTTAAACTAGGCCCATCAAAATAACTTGTGTGTCAATGTTCTTAGCTTGTTGCCTCCTTTTTCTTTTCTACCCTGTCACCAAAGAGGAAGTGTGAGGAACTATAGCGTAGAAACAAAAGGCATGACTATGCTGTCGTCACTACTTCATTGGAAAAGTCTAAAACGAAGCAACACTGACTGCAATGCTCAGCGCAGCTACTGTTTGTGGATCGTGTCCCTGCAAGAGCTTCATGTTGGTACACATGATGGTATTGATGGGCACTGGTGATGCAACAGTTGCGCTACCACGTTTCCACAATGCCGCCCCAGTTACCTTTGAGAAATAGAACATATGATAGCAAAAAAGAATTTTCAGGTTTCTGATGGCCTATATAGACAATTTGTAGACATTAACATAGGAGACTTAATAACTACTAAACCATAAAATTGCAATAAATTTAATGACTCACTCATAACAAAACAACATTAGATTGCATGCTCATGGCTGATGTAGAGCGTAAGTCTATTAAGTTAAAATGTATGAGATGGTTGAGGGGCACAGTTCGAGAGATAGGTAAGCTAAAGGAAATCTTTCCATGGCTAAGGCCAAAAACCAGAAAGATGGCTTTGCCACTAAGAACGGCACCTCTCAGGCGTATTTCATGGGTGGAAGCTGACTTTAGTGTTACAGAGCAGCCCAGGGAGCAGCGCGTATTATGGACGCTGTAATAGTTTCGATATGCTTCTTGGCATCGCCACTGCGTCAATCATGCCACCTTCCCTGTTGGTAGAAACTATCGAGGTTTCACTGAATTACCAGATAATTCCACACTCACTCACGTTGGTGTCACCACTTCTGCGGGGTTGGGGGGGGGGAAACCACGGCCATAACAGTAATGAGACTACCACTTTAGCAAACCCCATGAACGAACCGAATTACAATGTAATCGTAATAATGATCGAACATGTGATCAAACTACACTAGATATGAATGCGGCCGTGTCTTTTGTGTAGCCAATGCTCAGTGTTGCTTGGTTGATGATAATAATCGGCAAGATTTGGCAGTTTACACGTCCAATCGACAATTATCATGGAAATTGTCATTTATGGTAATTGTGCACTTGAAGTTGTAAAAGACTATGTCTACTTAGGGCAGGTAATAACCGCAGAGCCGAATTAGGAGATTGAAGTAACTAGAAGAATAAGAATGGGGTGGAGCACATTCGGCAAGCACTCTCAAATTATGACAGGTAGATTGCCACTATCCCTCAAGAGGAAGGTATATAACAGCTGTATCTTGCCGGTACTTAGCTACGGAGCAGAAACCTGGAGACTTACAAAGAGGGTTCAGCTTAAATTGAGGACGACACAGCGAGCAATGGAAAGAAAAATGGTAGGTGTAACCTTAAAAGACAAGAAGAGAGCAGAGTGAATTAGGGGACAAACGGGAGTTAAGGATATCATAGTTGAAATAAAGAAGAGGAAATGGACATGGGCCGGGCATGTAGCGCGTAGACAGGATAACCGCTGGTCATTAAGGGTAACTAACTGGATTCCCAGAGAAGGGAAGCGGGTTAGGGGGAGACAGAAGGTTAGGTGGGCAGATGAGATTAAGAAGTTTGCGGGTATGAATTGGCAGCAGCAAGCACAGGACCGGGTTAACTGGCGGAACATGGGAGAGGCCTTTGTCCTGCAGTAGACGTAGTCAGGCTGATGATGATGATGTCATTTATGCACAGCCCGGAGCAACAGGTCAAATTGGCACAGCACTTCCACCCCAGTTATTTCGTAAAAAAAAAGTTATGCAATAGCAAAGCACAATGCAGTAAAATGTAGTGTCAGTCCTGAGCACTACATTTCCTCTAGATTTGAAAAAGCAAATGACATAAAAGCACTCCTGCGTACCTCTCAAAGGTCGCCAAGGAGTCTGTGAGCAGTTCCCCAGTGAGTTCCTTGCAGTCTTCCGGCAGTGGCAGCAGTTTCACGCCACAGTAGCTGTGCAGAACCTGCATGCAAACAAGTGTTGACCACTGGATCCCACAGAAAGCCTTTTTGACATAAGCTGTTTGCATGCTAACACCAGATCTCTCGTTCGGTGTTCTTTTTTTGATCTGGTTGTTGTGCTTGCATCCATGTTTAAGATGGTTGCCATTATGTGCCACGAATCCCCAGCGACTTGCATCGCTGTCGATTCTGGGTTCGCACAGGTTTAAAAAAAGAAAATTCAAGGATATTCAGGAACTTTCAATGCCCTATAGATGGTTTGGCCAGAGCCTGCCAGTCACTGGCAACACTGTTTGTTCACCGGAAAACCACCTTTAGAAACTGCCGGTTTTGCTTGTTTTTGCGTGGTTTTAGCATTTGTTGCTGGCCACGGCTGCTTGTGTTCCGATGTTGTATGCTGATAAAATTATTTCCATGAAGCGCTGGCAACTGGAGCAAAGTTGTGTCAAGCCAGGATGCAGTCTACATGACTGAATTAATTTTATATGTTAGCCAAAGCATTGTTTTCCGACCGATGATGATAGAAAGAGCGCCTGCATTACAGCGATCACGCAAGAAAACAGTATTCCCACTAGGAGCACATAGGTTTGTTTGCCCACTTCATCAAAGGCAATGTAAATCTCAATGCAGACTAATGGCACAGAGGCGATACTCAGATGTTAGATTAGTTGAAGGCTCCCGATTACCGGGAACACATCAGTCACTGCCATCTTCCTCCCGCGGCAGATAAGCGTACTGACTCTTGAAATGGGTAGCAAAACGTAAAAGCTAATATTGGAAATCCACCGCAAAAGTGTTTACTTTATAGTTTGAGTGATATCAATGATGTATACTGTCCGAAACAACACAAGACACAAAGTAGCCGCTCTTAACATGAATCGCCGCACACTGTACGTCGTGGTGTCCTCGTTTTGTTGTCGTTACATTTGATTTCTTTGAAAGCGACGCCGACGAATGGGCTCTCATCTGTGCTGTGCGAGCAAATGACCCATCGCCTGTCTTTCTGCTGCTAACGAATATCGCCACATTTTAGCTAATTTATCTTTTGGGTGAGAACATGAACTGTGGGTCATGAATCAAACTTGGAAGTTTGATTTATGAATAGCTTACTCGTGAAAAAACTACAATTGTTTGCGTGACCCTGCCGCCGCAGTTGACGTCATCACATCAGTACATCTTATTTTTTCTCAACCACGCGAACACTTCGGATCGCGACCAATTTTGATCACCGATCACCGCTGATCTCTTTAAAAAGTGTCCGGTGTTACAAAGGCACAAAAATAAGCGTTTGATCTTGAGATTGTGTGCTTAGACAAAAACACAAATATGTTCCGGGTTCAACAGAAGGAAGGTTTTTAGTAGGCTTGTGTGAATAGTTTTTATTTTAGGTTCGAAGCGAATACAAAGCGAACAGTGATTTTGGTTGAAAAATTTCTAGTCGAATTCGAATAGTGTATATGACATATAAAAAAAACGGGCATATTTATCATGACCTAACTAACCTGCACAATATTTCTTTTCAATTAAGATAGGGGCTCCATGCCACTGTCATTTTGTTTCTTGCGTATCAGTTTATGCCTTTGCTTTTCTAAATCTAGGTGAATACACGTGAACTAATATACAGTAAAACATCATTAACCAAAACTTGGTAATTTAAACATCCTGCATATTTCAAAATATTTTTGCGGTCCCGTATTGCTATGTAAGTCTGCACGGTTAATTTAAAGCGACAGTCAGCACCAGTCTGGCTAATTACAAAACGTTGAGTGCCACGTGCCAATTCCCGATCCCGGTTTAGCCGCTGTAAATTTCCGGAAATGACGGCCTTAAGAGCGACAAGGCAATGCATTGTAGCGATAATAATGAGTGGCAGCAGAAGCACCCCAGCTTTGCTACTTCCAGCACAAAAAAACAAATAAAAAAAAGAAACCGACTCTTGTGGTCAACCGAAACGTGTGCTTGCGGAAAACACACAGCGATGACGCACAGGAAGTATATCGCATGTTTCTCGCAATGTCAGCACATCATGATTTACCCATTGTTTCTATCTGATATTGTAAAAAAATTTAGTAAGGACAGTTTGGCGGAACTCCGAATGTGTGTGAACCTCCGATTGCCAACAGCTCCAGCGAATTCTGTACTTGCAGTGCTGGCGGAATTCTTGGCTGTAACACCTACTTTAAAAACAAAGTTTAAAAGCTTCAATGATCATGCTTTCCAGGCAAAACATATTGCGAGTTTCACCACACTGGCCATTATGAATTTCTTCATTTTACCACAAAGAATGGGCAAATGACATCATGACGTGCTGACCGAGCAAGAAGCCGGGGACCTGCTGCTGCGTGCACCACTGATCCACCGAGAGGTACCTTCTTCAACGTGAAAACGGCAAGGTATTCATATCTACCACTTACCGCTGTCGGCGGGCATCTCGAGGGGGGGGGGGGGGGGGAACTATCGTGTTTTCAGCATTATCAGTAAGATGGCGCCGTGGGCGCGCGATGGCTTTCATCTCTCACACGTACTTTGGCCCGCATAGAGAATAAAGGAGTGTGCGCTCGATCACCCACCCTTATCATGCGGTGGGGAGAATCGTACGTCTTGGATAGCCTTTGGGATTCTTTGGAACGATTCTGTTGTAGTTACCAGGCACACAAAGGTCACTGAAATCGTTGCACAGCCTCCGTTTCCGAAAAGGGCACGCTTTGCAGACACAGCGACGTAACAACTGAAACGCTTATTCGCGTTCATCTGTACCAGTGAGTACCTTTCGTGCATCATTTGTGCGTGAAACGCGGGGCACATTTCGATCTGCTAGCCATTCTGCGCATGACCTTCCTGTTTGTTGCTATCACGTTCATTGCTTCGCCTTTGCGACAAATCTGTGACTTTTTTGTTTATTGAGATATCTCAATGAAATTTTCAGGATAGACTAATAGCAAAAGACTTAAAACGGCTACAAAATTTCATGAAGTTATGTTCACTGGTTCTCCAGTTACGGCAGTGTGTTAGGATGGGGCACATGGTTCTCTTATTCCAGGCCTGGAGAACTTTCAAAAGATGCTGGAAATGTTAAACTAACAAGAATGATTCTCAGATTGATACCTCAGGGGGTAACAGGGCTCTTTGTTTTACTTTCCTTACCGAAAAGCTTTAGCAAACCATCAAATTTAGTGTTGATGATGGGGATATTATTAATCAAGTTTTGATTAGGTATCATACATAACAGACACAATATATTGAAAAAATGGGCTTGTCTCCCCCTCAGAATTTTATTCATTTATTTATAAATATGTCCAGTTTAACATCCCAAAACTACCATATGATTTTGAGATACGCTGTAGAGGAGGACTCGTGAAATTTCGACCACCTGGTGTTCTTTAACGTGCACCCAAATCTGAGCACATGGGCATACAACATTTCCACCTCCATGAGTTATTCACATACATAACAAAAAAAAAATAATTATGAAAATAGGATGATCGGTTTCCTAGATATGGCTGGAACAAGCAGCCTCATTAGCCAAAAAAAGTCATTTTTATAAAACGACATTTCAAAGGTTCACACACATATGCAAATCTAAAACAACCCTGCAGCATAACTGGAGGTGTCCTTCGGCACCCTCTTTCGTTGCCGCCTTTCCATCTTCTCCAAGGATCTCTTCTTAGCCTTTTTCAAGAGCAGTGAATCTTTCTTGGCTGTCTGTTGAATGGCCAAGTCGCGCTCAATCGATCGTGCTCCATTGCCTGAAATTTCTACTCTGTCGCTAGCATAGCGCCGAGTTCTCTTTGAACAGCAGCGCGTTGTTAATCTGCCGTCTTTTTCTCTTCACACGTCAGAAAACATGTTCATAAGTGCACAGTTGACAACAGTATTGCACTCCCAGAGGCCGATGAAAGAGAGGATGTGGAAGCCCCTGTCGATGAGCACAAGACACCAGGCACACTTGCGATGTAAAATTTTTGCACTGGTGGAGCAGGAGTCCCATGTCTAGGCACGTCAATGCAACCACACTCTTGCGTAGATGAAGAAGCTACTCCACATGTGCTGTCAGCGCGATCACTTGTCGGCGCACGTGCGAGCGGAGAGCCTTGTCATACCGACAACCTTCATAGATCGCTTCTTTGCACCGAAGACTTGTTGCGTCTCCTTTTTCATTGAACGCATTGTGAGCATATGCAATGACGGCCTCGTAAAGGCAGTTGAAAATCGTCTCATGAAGACGTTTGCAAATAGTTTTGTGAAAAACGCCAAGCCTGCGTGTAAGGCGCAGCGCAGTCACAACGAAAGCTAGAAGAGCGGCCTTTCAGAGCCTTTTCATAACACTCTTTGGGTAACTACTGCAAGCACACTTGCTTGATACCCACTACGGTTTTATTAATACAATTTTTTCGGTAGTATGCCGGCATTCGCTATGCTATTTTTCGTCATGCTTTTGAGAAGTGTGGTATTTGCTAAACACTTGCAAGGAGTATTGTGCCAATGGTTCATGCAGTAGCCGACGACGATGAGGAACTATGGCTGAAGTGGGTATGACCACAGTCAATAGAGAAACAAGAACAAGCTTTTGTGATGATTTGGAGCATTGGACGGCCCACTTGTTAGACTATTCGCATTGTGCGAGGACTGGTTGTTCTTTCACTGTTTTAAAATGTTTTATAAGTCGTATTAACGCGATAACTTTCCCGACATCAAGCCTGCCTAAGGCAAGTTTGCCGAGAAGTCCCAAGCACCGGAGTGGCTCAGCAATAGAATACTGGGCTGACACCCAGGAGACCCGGGTTCGAGCCCCACTGTGTCATTAGTGCTAGGTTTTTTTCTACATTCGCGCAATGTGGTTACGGACACCAGCAGGGGCGGCGGACAACTACAATGGCGCGTGACCCGAGTTGTGATTTCATAACAGCTTTCGCTGTAAAGCAATTGAAACGCGGAGAGTATGTGAGTGGCTGCAATGAAAGACGATAGCGAGCGGAACACTAAGAAAATGCCGGGGACAGAGGAGCAGCAGTCGACGGAGAGCCGTATTATGTACCAAAATTCCACGTCATTGCGTGCAGCAGCCAATTGCAGTCGCAGTGTCTCTCTCGTCTCTGAGGAGCGCACGCATCACCCAATACCGGCGGCGCGCCTCTGCTGCGGGAAACTTCAAGGCTCTCGCGAGCCCTACATTCATGAGCAGATTGCTCCTCTCCTGTGCTGCTGCCACGGTCGCCGCCGGTGGCAGGAAAAAAAAGTGCAAGAATTCATAAACAAAACAACACCAAAATTGCAGAGCTCCGTCAAGCTGTCCAGAAACTGCGGTCGCGCCAAGTTGGGCTAATTTGAGCGCTCCCGTATCGCTCGAGGGCTGCGGCGGCTTGTTGTAAACATTATTTGAAACCGTTTCACGATGAGTCACGACATTGATAGACATTGATGTTTACAGAAAAGGTAGTTTATGACACGTGCTGCCTGAATACGTGGTTTTCCGAAAATTAACCTTTTCGCAATTTTTCCGTTTTCAAATGCCGCGTCCCCCTTAAAGGGTTACTCACACAAAATTTCGTGGCCGTGATGACTTGTGGGATCGATTCTCGTGAATATACATATATCATCTGCAAAATATCAACAGCGAATATGGCTGCAAATGCATCTTACAGTAACTTTAATGATTGAATTTTGATGGTATTGAAACCATCAAAAGAGACCCCATAGAAACCTTTTAATTCCCTGATGCCACCATACTGCAGTCAAGAGAAAAAGTAATGACATTATTCTCTTGCCAATGCTATTTATGTTCTGCCGCGTTTGCACCAGTGGACTGTTACTCGGCAGCTGCCCGTGTGTCCTTGGCCATGGCGCATGCTGTCCAGTTTTTTGTTAGAAAGGACTTCTTGGTGCAGACGGTGCATCACAGTTTTGTGTACTGATGTGATCGAGAGCTGCATTCGCAAGGTGGTGATACTGTATTCACTTGTGTAATGAACATACTTATCCATTTGCATAATGTACCCACCCCCCACCTTGGTTCTTAAAAAAATAAGAAAAAAGAGCTTTTTAAATGTATCTGTTCATTTTATTTCGGTATGATAGCCATCACCGTTGACAATCGAAACAGCATTAAATGGAGCCATTATATTCCAAAATAATGCAAATAAAGGTCAAAATATAGTTTCGTTACCATGCTAAACAGCTGCAAGCAGCGCAAGCGCGGAAGATATCAATCAAAATTTCAATGTCGCACCTTTTGCGGCAAAGCGCTATCTGTCGAATGCAGAAGAAACCCCTTTGCTGATAGCGCTGATGCTGACGCAAGCCCAGCCGCACAAAAACAAAGCAAAAAACAAAGACGTGGCCTATTGCGCACTGCGTGTTTCTATGCCGCTTTGCATAGCTTCCGAGATGACGGGCGCATGGCGTGTTTTTACTCCGTGCGCCCGCCATCTCGGAGGCTATGCAAAGCGCAATTGCAGCCACCGCGCCGATGGCATTTTGTGCACCTATAACGTGTACGGCAACAATTCTGCACCGCCATCCAATGCTGCACTTTTCTGTTAAGTTTGTCGTGAACTTAGTTGGGACATTTGCTGCGCATGGTGCATTTGACCAGTACGCTAGCTACGCGGATAGTTACAAATAGCATGTGCTGGACCATGTGAACAGAGCGGCTGGACGACACTTCAGCGTCAATCCATGTGGTGCTCCATCGCAACGCCTCGAAGCAACAAGCTGACATGGCTTATTTAACTACAGGATGCGAAAGGCAGAAAACATGCAGAAAACACTCCGCTTCTCAATGGCCATATTGTGACTGCGTGCACGCTTCAGCCCTGTAGCCAGCCAACAAAGCAATGACTAAAACGGCATAGTATTAAGCACTCAATATAAAACTAAAACTAATAAACTATGTTCCTAAGTTTTCTGCGTTTGTAACAAATAGTGAAGCATCGGATGCTTGTCAATCGTCAATAAACTGTCAGATACACAGCTGTGGTCAGTCCAAGTGCGACTGGGTTCCCACAAACAAGTTTTTCCCCGGTTTTTTCTTCCTGTTTTTCCGCTGAGGCGCACAAGAATAAGTTTGCTGCCCGCATGCGTGTTGTTGTTGTTCAAGATTATGAGATGATTATCTACGTTAGAATTTGCTACGAGGACGATAAACAACTTAGGACTGTTCCAGTAGGCGATGTAAAAGATTTTTCACCGCGTAACCACCTATCTGGTGAAACGGATCGACGACGATGGAGAGACGGATCCTGGCACTGGGAGGTAAGCGTACTCTTGTCTTTTGATATGTTGCCAGTGAAATGCATTTGCTTTTTGGCCTGGGCGGCTGTTCAGCACTGTCCGCCGTTCATCACCTTCAAAGTATTTTTTGCCATAATCGAAGCGGGCATATTCATGAGTTGGTTTTATAATTCACCATGCGCGATTACAAAAATGTGTGGTGCGCCATTATGCCTGAAAGCCCCACAACGATGGCGGCGTTATTTGCCCTGCGGCAGAAAAATACCCACAGCGTCAAGTATATCGGCTCACATTACCGGTCTGTTGAGCACTTTGTAGTACAGTAATGCGCTTTTGCCGGCGGCACCAGCACTGTACGCTCTTTTGCTTTGTGCATGATATTATGTTACAATGGTACTTAAGTGTTTGCTCGAGGTCCAATTCTTAATATGCAATTCAATAATGCCAGCAAAAGTGCATACGAAAAATCCTGAGATGTGCCATTAGAAGCTGATGTGTGTAAAAATGTTCATGCTACAATCTGCCGTCGCGTTTTCCAGATTCGGAGGATTTCTCCCACACGGAGAAAGGAAGGACGCATATTCCAAAAAGGGTTTTTTTGCCAGCATCTTTCGACTGTGCGAATGAAACAGAGGCAACTTATTTTGTAGAGCTCTTACGGGGGCCTTTGATTAACACTTGAGTAAATTACATGTTACAACTTGTTTTCTGTTTTGCACAGAGTCCTGTCAAAGAAAACAAAAACAAAAAATAAAACGGCAAGCTGTCTAGAGTCGCATCTTCTTCACTTGTTAAACAGCAAGAAAAAAAATATGAAGAGGCTGGCGAAATGTCAACATGTTCAACATGTCAACACATCTGTTCAACATGTCAACATGAGCCACATATCTATTGTTGGGCAGTTTACAAAGACAAAACATGAGATAGTGCTTATGGGTATGGTTGTATTCGTACTACCTTCTGAAACTAATAGAAACATATTGTTTTATGATGGGACATGTGCTGTACTGCACAGCGATGCGTTTAGAATGCATCTCTCCACTGCAGGTGGACATTGGGCGAGAACTCACGGTGAAGAAAGCTGCATAGAAATATGTGCAGTGCCACAATAAGGATTCTCTGTTTGTTAAGAACCTTCTGGTGATCATCTGCCCAAAATAAACCCTGAAGAAGTGCTCCCTACAAGGTTGGTTATTATACGAAAACATTTAATGTATGAGAGCCACTAACTAGAGGATTCATCAATGTGGATGTCTATTATGCAGGGAAACACTGCCCCCGCTACCCTTACTGCCCACGAAAGGCTCCCCTTGCACCATAGAAGCTAGACCTAACGTGTAGTAAGTTTGCGGACAATCTTTTGTGGTGCATAATAAGCCGATTTAGTTCTTCATGCATCAAGTCATTGCAAGCCTTGTTTGTAGTAGAATAAGTTTTTAAGCCAAATAGACTTAACGATGTCTTTTGACTTCAGTTTTTGCACTCTCCTTTGCATAAAGTAGTTGTACAAAGGCGACTCGACACCTTTCATCTTCCTTACTCCTTGAAAGTTCATTTGTATGTTCGATTTGTCCCAGTTCAGGCAGGTGTAAGGCTTGTCTCTTAATTGCACTGGTAGTTGAAAAAGTTTGAACCATCCATTCAGCAAGAGTGTAGACTGCCGTAATTTTTGTTTTATCAAAAGGTGTATCTCATTTTTAATGAAAATAGCAAAACACAAGACATCCTGCGCTGCTTTCGTCGTTCGTCCGTAGCTATATAATTCTACACTGTTGCAAAGTGCTCAGTGGAAAAGCAATGAAGTGTAACAGTGTAGCTTTTAGATTATTTGTGCCTATGCAAAGTTTGCTTTTTTCTTTCACTAACAAGTGCTGAAATGAACCACTTTTGCCAACAGAGAATGCCTTCTGTTTTGTGGAAGCCTGAACTCTGTGGAGATAGGTTTGCACTAAGCTTACCTCCAAGCACAATCGTGTAGGAATGCGACGTCCTCTACTGCCACTGCGTGCTACGACCCTGCGGCCGGGTTCGTCAATTTCTCCGACACAGCGCAAAACCATGCACGAGGCAGGAAAACAAGAACAATGGGTTTATTAACAAGAGATGCGGCACAGTACGACACTCACGGGCCCACAGGCCGTATAAAGAACTCCGCAAGACCGAGCAAGTATGCTTGCCTAGGGGCACGACCAATCCCGCACAAGGGCCGAAGTCGAACGCACCAACAAGAAGCCGCGTGCTGAGCAGCGCGTCAACCTCTCGTGGAGGCCTAAGAGCATCTGCCGCGACGAGCGAATCGTCGGTCGCAACATAGCTCGTAGGAGAGGAGGATGTCAGGCGCAGCCCAAAGGGAAATGGTGCTGCGTTGTGATGTAGGCCCGCACAGTGCGCCAGCGTAGCGTGCCTAGACATGCCAGCATGGGACGGAGCCCACGCTTGACTCGCCCAGACCAAGAGGCACCCCGGCAGCCATCTTGGCGAATGCTGGTGATTATACGCGACCGAGCTACGCGGTCGGCGCGCGCGCGCGGCATCTGGGGAACGAGGCGCCTGGTAGGGGGCACTCTTGATTCCCACAACTCATACAACATCTGTTAACTATGCATACCACATCATTATTGCATTAGAGATATGACTAAAACTTCTATATTAAAAATATTTTTGGTTGAAATGAATGCTTTCTCCACTTGCTCATACTTTGAAATGGTGCTATTATTTGCATTAAGAAGCATGTGTTGTGGGGCTAGTTGGCAAACCTAAACAGCGCTCTGATTCTTGTTCCAGGTGCACTTTAAGTTTACCTTCCTTGAGCAGCTTGTTTGTCCAAGGCTGTTTATAAAAAATTTTTTGTTACAAACTGTTACAAAGCGTGCCTCAAGCACCAAGGAGTACCTGCTGGAGTTTTACCGCTAGCAGTAAAGCAGAAGAACCACTATATTGTTGAAAAACTTGCAGATATTGAGAACCCGGCCAACAGTTAAGGTGCTCCTCTGCATGTTGTCTACGTCAGAAAACTCATTTTTTTATAAAAGAATCGAACTATGTTCATGTGTTTGCGAAACGCATGTGCAGGAAGAGAACAGGCGACTGCACTGAATCATTTCAGGTTTTTGACCACACACTTTGCTATTTTTGTGTTAATGCTGTTGAGAATACGTAGCACTGCTTCTACATTGAAGAATGTAAGTCTTTTTACAGCTGACCAAATGTACAACTTACGTAAATTATTCGCAGGGCAAAGGACAAACACGGCCCTGCCAATGCCTAATTGTGGAGAACTTGCTGGGTTTTTTCATAATTAGTTTAAATATTTATTACTGTGTAAATAAATTTCCTGTTTTTGTAATAATTTTTTCTCTTTAGCTTTGTTTTTTTTCTTGTATGTACATGCATTCAGTTTGCAGTGATTTCACATTCACACTAGTTATTCTGATCTTTGATATGATCTGATCTAAATACAGTTAGCTTCAATGAAGCGCTCACTCGAAATTATTGAAAGCCCAGCCATTTCCAATTTGCTTACCAGGTAGAATGCCAACTGTTCTAGCACCAGCCACTGTCAGTGGGCCATCATGTGGTATCAAAGGGCTGACCATGTAAAACAAACTTGGAAGGCATGTGATTACCAGCCAATTTGAATTGTTTTGCCAATTGAAATGAACTGGGGACTGTTTGAAACACCTGTTACGATCAATTGGCCAAATTTATCGAAACAATGGATTACCAGTTGTCTTCAGTGGGTCAACCAACTGACACCAGCGGGGCAATCACTTGCCTACCAGTCAGTCTCAATGGGCGGGCCATTTAGGGCCAGCGAGGTTACCAATTTATTGTCAGTTAGCTTCTGTGGGTCAACCACTTGTGTGGCAGTTAGCCTCAATGAGCTGGCCATTTGGGGCAAACTAATTGATCACCATTTAACTTCATTGGGTGAACCGATTGACACCAGTGGGACAACCACTTTTACCAGTTAGCTTCCATGGGCTGGCTATTTGAGGTCAATGGGGTTACCAGATGATAACCATCAAGCTGTAATTGGTATACACCATTCGAACTAACTGGTGACCAATGGGGACCACCATTGTACCAGTTACATTTAACTGGTTGCCCGATTGGATTCCCTATTGAACCAATCATGTCTAATTGGGTGACCGATTGGATCTCCTATTCGAACCTAAGGGATCACCCATTGATTTAAACAGGAGTGGCAAAAATCCTACTGGTCCAAGACCCATTGATGCCAATTGGAAATTTTCCGATTAGACCCACTAAATTTTTTTTACTGGGTCTACTCGAATCATCATCTCCCAAACAAGATGATGAAAATGAATGGCCTTTTTTTGTGTTCACGGGTCAGCTATACATGGGTTGCCGCCCCCCCCCCCCCCCCCAGGTCGTCTTTCCATACAAAAACCACGCTCCTGCTGCAGGAGAAAACTAAATCCTCGAGAAAATGCTGCCATCTAGTGGTTGACATGCGATGTAACCTGTAAATACGTGCTTCTCCACTTGAACACTAGAGTGGAGTAGCTATTCTGCTAGGATGAAGTCTACTCGTCCAAAGCAGTTTGGAGACCGTTTGGGCCTGACGAGCTCAGTTAAGGGGTCAAGAGGTTTTTCAATGGGCACTGAGACAGCGGTAATAGTAGTAGCTACATCGTCTTTTCTGCACCCATGCTTTCCTTGTTTTTTACTGGCAGTGACACTTTGTAGTAATATGCAGTGGTGCGTGAGTACAAAACCAATCAAACACGAGGTTGGTATTTGTGTAGTGCGCTGAACTTACAAGTAAATTTTTGCTTTTTTGAAGGCTTGATGAAATTCGAAAACTTCCAATCATTAACCTAATTCCTGAGAGATATGACAGTTGCCATGGCAACACTGTCCCAACATGTCACTGCTGTGCACAACTGGAGAACGTGGTACAACACTCACCATCAATGCAGCCTGGAACATTTTCTGGGCAAGCTGTAGCTCTAGTAGCATGTTGATGTCTGCACAAAGATAAACACTAAATAAATAGCAGTGCTCATAAAAGAAAGCATGACAACTACTACACCACGTGAATCATATATCATAACTCCGTACAAAATAATCTTAATTGGACCAACCCTTCAGACTGTCTCGTGGGTGAAAATAAAAGCAGATGATTAAACACATATGAATACACTACTGATTCACTTAAGCCCTTTTAAAACCTTTTTTATGCATAGATAGGTGGTCCTATCTATTTTGTTGGTTTTGACACAGACAAACCCTGTTAAGAAGGGCTGCAACCTGAAGATACTTTTTTAAAATATATGAAACTGTCGGTGTTTACATAGCTTTTTATTTTTAAAATTATTTTTCACTAGAAATCTATCTACAAAGTTTTGTAGCAAACTGCACAGTTTTCATTTTCTTATTTTGACAATCTATAAAATCTAGGCATTTTAGCTCTCTTTTTATCACAAAACTTCTATAAGTACGGTTCATTAATCCTTGAATGCACCAATCACTGTTGCACACTGGACTTGCAGGCTTCTCATTTTGGGCATGCACTCATTAAAGAGCACATTAACAGGCTTCAACTTTCTTTTTTACACCCCCCCCCAAGCTTGCTAGTTTATAGACTATATATTTTGAATACTATAGCGCTGCACGCACAGACCACTTATTTTGAGCAACGATTTTTGCACCTTTTTTCTACAACTTGCGAATCCTCCTCGTACACACAGAGACAAAATCTTGCCCATGGGTAACACTATGTACCATTGAGCTTTTCGATTGGTCCTTTGCCCAACAAAATGACGCCTTGGCTCAGTGATGATGAATTTTTGGCTGTGCAGTCAGCATTTTCATTCTTCTGTGCTGCCCGGGACACGTAATATCGCAACAACAAAAGCCTCACGTGAGATTTCTTGGGCGCTAGGTGGGGAAGGGTGCACACGTCACATGCGCATGCTAGGAAAAGTGGGCATAGTCACAACAACGCCACTATGCTGGGAGAAAAGATTGGGAACGATGAGTAAGAAACCAAAACCAGCCAAAGCGCATCGTTCTAAACACTGTAAGTTATGGCACTTATTCATAAAAATGCATCATAAATTTGCATCGTTATTGAGCATTAAATATTTTGGACTGCGAGGATGGCCCTTTAGGGTGACTTTTTTCAGGTTTTACAAGTCTCCCCACTAAGCCATGTGCTGGTCACATTCTTGATGAGCATACTACAACTAACATACTGAATTTCCCAGTAAAAAAAAAAAAAGACTGTGATCCACGAAATGTTTTCATCTGACCATGTGTGATGGCAATAAACCCCCCGCTCAAAGAAAAGCTTGTTACCTTAGAGCAGAGGTATAGCTTTCATTTGGGGGGCGCAAAACAATAGCTGGAGCCTGTTTATTAAAGCTAAAACAGCGCAAATGACTACTGCAGGTTAGAACAGTATGTCACCGCACTGCTGGTGTGCCAAAATACCTTCCGAGGAGACGTGGGTAGGGAATTTCTTGACGGCACTGAGGAGCACCTGAGTGGCTACAGCCACATTGCCTCTCTGGTGGTGCACCTGCACACAAACGTTCACAAGTCTGCAAATTGCCAAGAGTGCACAATAAAGTGTCAAATTGATGCAGAAATGTGATAACTTTTATCCTCTAGCATAATGATGTGTCACTTGAGGGGGCCAGATCATTCCAGCTAAACCACAGTCGCAACCACTCAAATGTCTTTTTTGTGTGGTACTTAATAGTATTATTTCATGCATTTTACATGCACAACACCAAAATGCCTGTTTCTGATTGAATCTCAATATGCCACGCTGCAAAATAATTCAAATAATTATTTGCACCATTGGCTGCCAACATTCCAATTACAGTTGGCTTTTCATGTTTGAGACACTGATAATTCAAACCTTTTCTTGATTCCAACAGAGTTTGGTTTGCCCACTATGTTTTCAGCATATTTCAGAGCTGCTAAATTTGAGCTACTCTATTGCACAAATTTGATTAATTCAAACTTTTGCTTTTCTGTGCTTGAAAATATCTGCTGTCATTGCCACTTTAGCTGAGCACTTGCACTGTGTCCCTAACAATCGCAAGTGAAGCAGATAGTCCTCCTACAAGGAAACCAAACTAGACAAACCATGCACAACAACTGCGATTAAACCAAGGATAAAATTTAAAGATAAAAAAAAAAACAGTTGTTACACCCGAAGGTGAAGAAATGAATGCAATAACAACAAACTGGAATGATAAACAAGGTAAAGCAAACTAACTCTTTTAGAATCTGATCTGCCGAAACTCTTTGAAAGTGCCCCAACCACATCCTCAATATGCCTTTACTTGACATGCGTCAATGAACCCTTGCCCAGTTATCCCTCCTCCACATTCTCTACCTTAGAACTAAGAGACAGGAAAGCCAGGGAAAGTTTACATCATTGCTGCAAATAATATACCCTTGACTTTTTTGTGTCCAATAAAAAAAGGCAGCCCTTAGATTTCCCTTGTCTCTTTCATACTCTACCAAAGTAGCCCATCGCTTTTATGGGCTCATATTTTTCCAGTGCATTACACCTCATCTAGGTTAGAACATGCCTATCAAGTCAAACCAATTTTTTCTCATACTGAAAAATACTGGGATTCGCCTCTTTCACTATCAATGGAGTTCACTTCCATCTAGCACTAAAGATTATCATTCTTTTTCACTCAGCACTCCACTCCTTTCCGGACTGTCACATTTCATAGCAGTTCAATTACTTGTTACTGCATGTGGTACCCAATACCCGCTCATGTCAGAAACCGAATAAAACAAAGTTATCCTCACGATGTTGATTTAATCTTAGAAATGTTGTGTAAGATTTCTTCAAAAAAGATGTGGCACTGCACTCTCCTTTAAGCAGTGTAAGGTTTTTGGTTTTGGCATTGTACTTCTAGCATTTTTTTTAATTGTCGTATTTTACTTTTACTGTGGTCATATCTTTAATTCCTTTGTAACCCTACCTCTAAATAAAGTAACGCCCTAAGGGCATCCAAACAAATCAATAAGTAAATAAATGTTGGTGTAAGAGAAATGTGGCCACTCGAGTGAGCTCAGTGCTGCCTGTCACTTTAACACGAAATATGTGGTGAAAGCACAAGTTGAATAAGCTATTGGGCCATCTACTGACCTGTGTCAACGTGACCCACACAGCCAGACCCGTAGCTCTCAGTTGCTTCTCGAGCGATGCAGCCTCCTATCCAGCACCCTTTCACGCTCATTCAACAGATGGAGCTGGCCGGCCCATCTCATCCTCCGTCGATTCCAACTTCTCAGCAGTGTTTGCAGGCTACACCTCATCCTTGAAGTTTTTTTATCGTGCCATTACGCTGTACATAGTTCTCAGCACAAACCGTGCCTGCAGTTGTCGAGAAGCTTCGGGACTGTTGTAGATCATTTCGTTGAAATCACGCCCACTTTGTGAACATCGCAGATTATTCTGGAACCTACGTGGCCACTAGTGATAACGCTAGAATATTCGACGACATGTGTATAAATGTCAGCGCACTTCACCGGTTGTCAGTTGGTGTCACGGATTACGAGCGTTGCTGCTATTGTGGGCGATGGGCTGAGACAAGACTCCATTCACAACAAGCTACATTTAATAAACCCCCGCACGGCACAACCTCTATATACAAATATACAAAAATGTAACAACCAAATAGGAATAACTACAACCTAAATCACTACTAACCTACAAACAAACCCCCATGCAGCGTAAACTGTCCTAACTAATGCCAGACATCTCTACAGCCTTAGTGCTTCTCATGATTTTTCTCGTTACCTTACTTGTCGCAACTGACATGTCTCTCATCAATGTCCGGATTGATCGTGTCCTTGTCAGGATTCTCGGCCTTCTCTATGAATGTTGCCGTTCGTGCCACTGCCAACGTGGTCGCCCGCCGCCATCGCCTAACGTCGTCACTGACGTGGTCGCTCGCCGTCGTCACCTTGCATCATTGCTGATGTGGTTGCTTGTCGTCATCGTCGCCTGATGTCGGTGACGTGGCGATGTCTCGGTGGTTGGGCCTAGCAGCCATAGGCGATACCCGGTGCTGCACGGTGACGTGGTCACCCAGGGACTGTTTTTGGAGGTTTGCTTTGAAGAGGTTTTGCGCTAAGAACTTCGACGCTTGCTGTGCACAGCAGCTGCATTCCGAGTAGCCTCCGTCGAAGCTTGTCGAAGTCTCAGTCTTCTTTTCAGGGTGCCCGCGTCACTGTCCTGCCACTCCCGTCACCAATGCGTTTGCTGGCGATGCAACCTTCTTTTGCGAAGCCTACGTCAACAATGCCAGCTCGTCGCTGCTCGTCCGCCGATCGCAGCTGGGGTCACACGCGCTGCGCCTCGCTGTATACGGTGCGCGCTCGTGCCATTTCGACTCTTGTCCAATCCTCCTCCTCGTCTTTTCTCCTACGGGCTGTTGCTCATGACAGTTGATCAACAGCTGACCCTCCGTTTGCTGCTATCAGTGCAAGTCTACTACTGTAATCTGACTTTCCATTTACCGGGCACAGGTTATCCCTAATAAACAGTTTGATCTGAACATCCAGTCTCCTGCCTTCGGCCACGTCACGACCCCGTGACATTATCATATAGAGTTGTCAGTAGCGCTTCGTCCTCTCTCTTCTATAGTTGTCCCATACATTGCCCTTCTTTCACTAAGTATACATCTTATCGCCCATATTATTGACTTAATATTACATGGAAATAGGGTTGAGCCAATCTTCAAAATTTAGAGTAATCTATAATTGTTTTTGCTATTCAAATTGATTCACTCCAAAATTTTACTAATTCGAACTTTTTCAACACCAATACAATCATCTTTGAATAACTTTATGCGCTTCACCCCAGCACACTCACGCATCGCAATGAAGCTGCCGTTCAAACTTCGCTACGGTAAGAAAGTATAACCTCATTTTTCGAACTCGGTTATTTCAAAATCCCGCTTAATTATAAATATTTCTGCATTCCTGTATTTTTCTATGTAAGTCTGGGTGGATATTTCGAAGCGGCGGCCAGCACCAGTCCGGTTAATTAGAAAACTTGCGGTGCCATGTGCCAGTTCCCGATCTCGATAAATGCAGACAGAGCTACTTAGCCAAGCAGCAACAGCTTCGTCGTCTTCTTCCTCATTTCATTTATTTTTGTTTATATTACGGCTCAGCACTGCTCAAGACGTCGGACGACTCGAAAAGATACCTGCCGTATCGGCGACCGACGGGTGCTGCGCAGCCCGCCGCGTCGAAAGGTGCTAGAAGAAACGAAACAAGCATCAGGGAGAGCGCCGCCATGACCTCCCAAGGTGTGACACCAGGTCAGAAGCACCATCTGGTTTGCGCAAGCATACCTGACTGCAAGCGACAACACAGCGTTGAATCAGAGGACGAATCAACTGTCGTCGGGAACCACAACGGGGTGAACCTCACAGATCTAGACATGGACGAGGGTAGTTTCTGCCTTGTGCGACATCGCAAAGAGAGGACGGTGGGCATTCCTGTGTGAATTGCTCCAACATCCGAAGGAGCTAACTTGAGGCAAGTGAACCCTATTGACCTATACTCGGAAATTGAAACGATTCTCGGTGGAGCCCCAGTTAAGAGCCGTTTCACAGCACAGGGAGCCCTGCTCTTGGATATAGAGACAGAACACCAAGCTAATATACTTCTAGAGACCAACATTATCTGCGGCCTTGCCATATCTGCCCGTGTACCACACAGCTACATGAAAAATACAAATACATGCATTATAAAAGGGGTCCCAAGATGGTACTCGGACGAAGAGCTGTTAACCTACCTGAGACCTCAGGGAGTATACCACGCAAGAAGAATCATACGACGGGTCCAAACCTCATCCTCCGAGTGGGAATCAAGGCGCACTGACTCTGTGGTTCTCACATTCGCTCCCAATTCGGAACGTCCAGAGAAGATCAACCTTGGCTTCACCAGACACGAGCTGGTAGACTACGTGGAGACGCCGCCACGCTGTTTTAAATGTCAGCGTTTTGGACATGTTGCTAAACACTGTCGTAGGGAACAAAGGTGTAAGTGCTGTGGGGGGCCTCATGACTTTAAGCCGTGTAAAAGTAAAGAAAAACTTGTGTGTGCAAACTGTGGTGGCGACCACCCAGCTAGCTACGGCCGATGTCCAGCACGAACAGCTGCGCAGCGAAGAAATAAGACGTTTGTCCTCGGCCCGAAGACTGTGAACGAACCATCGCTCACGAAGAAGACGTCCGGCGCGCCACAACATGGCGGTTTGGAAAACGAGTATGCAGGAAATTTTCCGCGCCTAAATCCGACAAGAGCTGCTACTGAGTCAACGCAAGTGCTCAATGCTGGTGAGAAATGTATCACGAAAGAGTCCGCCAAGCGCACCTATGCTGATGCACTGAGCCCACCTCAAGTACCATCTGGAAGCAAACAACAAGAAAACCTCGAGCACGTTATTCGCGCTCTATTCACCGCACTACGTTCACACGTCGCTAAAATGCCTGCGAGTTCAACGAAGGATATGTTGGAAGCAGTCCTGGC